AACTATAAGAGAATATATAAACTCTACCCAAATTGCAATAAAAACAACTATTCAACTACTCTTACAACTATCGCAAAACATATATAATTAGTTATAGATACTATACTGTACAAAACTCTTGCAATGAAAATAACAAAACCACATATCTTCAAGATCCAACTACAGTATAACAACCACTCACATAACAAATACTTGTAATATAATACAACTTAGAATACCAAACTCTTATAGCTGTTTTTGTAGCTTACCAGACCAACAACATAATGATAATACTTGTCTATCTCTTAAGAAAGCAATTAGAAAAATATCTCTATAAACTATTATATAAATTAAATATAGCACCTCAACTAACAATATTTTACATTATCAAATCTAGGTGAGTTTTAACCACTCTAGTAAGTTTGGTTGTCGATGAATCAAAATTTCTAGTTTAAATAGTTTCTGGTAGTCTAAGTCTTATTCTTGTAAAAATTTTTGTAAATTGACTCTGGTCAGAAAAATCCATAATAGATTTTTAATACAAAATATTAATAAAAATAAAGGCAAAAAAAACCTCACCTTATAAAAAAAAATAAATAAATAAATAAAATTTCTATATTAAAATACTATACTAAAATCTATTTTATAATAATATAATTGTTTTAATATTGTTTATAAACTTTAATTAAAACTATTTTAGCAATTACTTGACCAAAATTGATGAACTTTTTTTATTTAAATTCTACAGATTTGTAGAATTCAAATAAAAAAAAATTTATTAATTTTGATCAAGTAGTTGTTAAGATATCTTTGATTAAAGTTTTGAAAGTTTGTAAACAATAAAGTGATAAAATTGAAAAAATCTTTATATAATTATAGTGTAAATAGCAAAAATTCATAAAATGAATGATAATTTTCTATATTAAATAACAAATTTTAATTATATATAAACTTTAAGCTTTAATAACTTTTTAAATTTATAATAAAAATAAAAATCTATTTTAACAGAATTACTGTATAGCTTAGATTAAAAGCAATAAATCTGTAAAATATATTTTTTAAAAATTATTTATTGTAAGTTATAAGCATTTTTATATTTTATATATAAAAATTATATGTTTTTTACTGTAATACAAATTTTATTAAACAAGCAATAAATGCAATTAACAGATTTTTATTTTATAATTTATTAATTTATATTTATTTATATAATTAATATTTATTTTCAAACTTGTATACTATTTTAAAATTAATAAATATATAATAATAAAATATAGAAACTTTTTTAATAATCTTCTAATTAACAACAAAAAATTGAATTACAGCAAAATAATATAAAAAATTAATAATAGGTTAATATTAAACTTGATTCTCAAAGTGAAGACAGCTTATTATTAACAAAGTTTAAGCAAAAAACAAATGTAATATATATGTTAATAGATAGTTTCTTAGAGTTAAAAAATTTTTTTCTTGCAGAATTCTAAGATATTTAATATTCAAATCAGAAAGGTTATTCTAGAAACAAGTCTGTTAAAAGTAAAGCTTATAAGAAGAATCTTATATACTTTGTTGACCTATTACTTTTTTTAAAAAAAATTTTTGTAAAAAGTAAATGTTTTAGCTTATTCTTCCAAAAGATTGATATAATATACACAAATCAAATTAGTATATTTATCTTCTAAATTAGATTAACAACAACAAAAATATAAATATACAGCTTCAAATATATAAATTTTTATATAAAAACAATGCTTTAAAATTTTGTTTTAATCTTTCTACAAGTAGGAATTGGAACTGCCTAAAATTTTTTTTAATCGTTTAATTGTTTGATCGTTTAACCATTTAATCATTTAATTTGGCCAGCATTAAGATAATTTCGGCCTACGACCAATATAATTCTGCCTGGAATTATAGACAATTTTTAAATAATTAAACAGTTTCAATTTTTATCTACAAGATATTCTGTTAGAAATGAATGCTCTAGATAAGAAAGTAACTCCAATTAAGACTAAAAGACTCTGAGAAGACCTCTGTTTAATCCTGTATAACATAAAAAAAATATTTTAAATCAATAAAGTTTTTTTATTGAATTTTTATTTTGATATACTAATTAGATAATTTAGAATAAAAACTACTTTATTTAATAATATATAATTTTTACAAGCTCAGAATAGGCTTATAATTGTGATATTAGGTTTAGTAAAATTATTTTGGTTTGTTTTTTTTTGATATCCTTTTTATTCCTTTCTTTTTTTATTTGTACTTTATTTTATTATATTTCTTATACCTCTATATTTTTTTTAATTTTGAGTTATATTTTTGTTTAATTTTGCTTCTTAACAAGCATGTAACTGCTAGCTAATAAATAAAAAAAAAAGTTCTTAGTAAGTTAAAGATCCAAAGAGAGGCCAATTACTATTGAGACAGATTATATTTAGTTTAAATGTAGATGAGCCTTTGTTTTAGTTAAATTAGTTACAATTATAGATAGAAATTTTATAAAAAATTTTTTAATATTTTAAAAAATTTGTTAAATGGTTTAATCCTAAATAAACAAAATTAAAATAGCTGAAATGCAGTAAAAAAAAAATCAACAAACATAGTAATTTATAATTTTTTTGTTATATTTTCAAAAATAATTAATATAAACTCCAAAAAAGTCAAACACAAATTATTTTAATTTCTTTAAATATTATTAAACCATACAATAATATAAAATTCTTTTTGCCAAATAACCTTTTGTAACTACTTTTATTTATAACAAAGTTTTGACTAGATAAAATTAAATATTTTGTATAAAAAAAATCATATAAAAAAAATAAATTAATAAATTTCAATATAAAATTGAATATATAACACAAATCAATATCTCTATAAAATTATTTACAAACTATTTTGAGTGAAAAATCATTGCTCAATATTTACAAAATAATATTATTATGAAACATAAAAGTATTCAAGAAATTCATACTTATAAGCAAGTCATTGAAGTTAACAACTTAATACTATAAATACTTTGATTAATATTATAAATAAACTTGTAAATAATAACAATAATTTATAAAATCCTCTACAAAAAATTACACATAATATGAAATTTTCAAAAAATAGGTTTAATTCTGAAAAATTCTTCCAAATGCCTATTTTTGATAATTGTTTTTTTATAAATGTTATATTTAATATTTAAATTAAAATTTAAAGCTTAGTAAATATTTATAATAAAAACTATGCTTAGCTTGTAAAATTACAATTGCGCAATTATTACATAATAAATACAATTCTAAATTCATAATTCCCAGCTATACAATTTTTAGAATACCGAATGTTTTTTATAATAATATAAATTTGATGTCATATTAGCCGTGAAAATATCAGTCATGAAGATATCAACAATAAACATACTAAGTATTGTGACGTAATCTATGAAGATCAGTAAAAAAATCATGAGCAAACAATTAGAAGCCATGGGATAAGTCAATTTATTTGATCCATAAATAGGATATACACGTGTAATAATATACGTATTATAAATTCAAATTTGTTCATTGAATCTGATCAGAATTTAGAAATTAGGGTACGTACGTATATGGGTGACGCCAAGAGAAAACCAGGAATACTAAAAATAGATTTATATCCACAGCGAAGTTGCGGGGTTTTTAACGTTCTTTAATCATGTGTTATCATCACCGAATCGATTATAAACCCGCGGATAGAAATCTATTTTTAGAATTTCTGGTTTTCTCTTGGCGTAGCCATATATGCATGTATACCTGTGTCATGATTAGGGAAGAGCTATAAACAATCTTGAACCAATTTAGCTTCGATCGTGACAATATAGTGATTGAGGTAAATAGTTTTAAATCATTAAATTAACACACATTATCATAGTTTATAAGGTTCATCTTTATTAACACATCGGATTATTAACAATAATACTAATGCTATGAACAACTGTCCTTCACTTCAGACTAAAACCACACCTTTATATATCTTTAATTCCGTACCGGGGTTTTAATCACTTACTGAGGGTTTAATCACATCGTTGAGAGCTTAAATCACTCGTTAGGGGTTACAATCCCTTCTCTGAGGGTTATTCACCCTTGTTGGAAGCTAAAACCACCCAGCTATGCCACAAACTATACCAAAATAAGAAATAAATAAAATAATGATAAAATACTGATACTCAAAAAAAATAAATTTTTTATGTGTAACACCTGATACAGTATACGACACTTATACGCCGTAAGGCACTTAAACAGCATGTGGCGCTTAAACAGCATACCGATACGGCAATTCTATTTATACAGCAAAATCCCGACACCCAAAATCTCGAAACCATAATTCCGACGTGACAATTAATATTGATTAGTAATCACGTTAACAATTATTGTCAGACTTAAATTTTTAACTGTCACGTCCAGTATTATGAGATTTTGGATGTCGGGATTTTGTGGTAAAACAGTGCCGAGGGCAAGATCTTAACTCTAGGCGATACTAGGGTAGCTGACATCTTGATAAACTGTCACGGGATGAAAAACTAACTGATCGACACTGCTAACCAATGAGGAGTATTAAATTACATAGTCAACGTTAAAATCTGGCCAAGGCTAAATTATCAATTATATAATTTATAATTCTTAAAAATACATTAAAGGTTATATTATTAAAATTTCGTTGGAATATTCAATGTAAATGGGCAGAAATTTATAATGATTGAAGATATTTATAATGATTGAAGGTATTTATAATGATTGAAGGTATTTATAATAATTGAAGATATTTATAATTATTGAAAATTATAGATATTAAAAAATTTACGCTACCTTCTGCGGTGAAAGTGAAGGGTGGAGTGGATGTTGAGAAGTATTTCGTGATGCGGTGATTAGAATATTAATATATATATGTATGTACATAGGTTTTTATGGATAGAAAGCACTATTACTTTATATAGTGATTTCCATTCAGAAACTAATCGTACGTATGTACGATTCTGTGGGTGAAGCGCCTAATTTTATCGCCTTTCACAATGTTTCATCTGAGAAGTAAGAACTCTCACTAGACAGACTCATAAAATCATTAGTAATGTAGTTTTTTGGTATTGGTGGTGTTAAAATTTTGGGTAGATTAGGTTCTTTCTCAAAAATCCATTTTTGTTTAGAACTATCATTATCCTTAATAGGACGAATCAAGACATTAGGTCCATCAAGTTTTTCGAAACTAAAATGGTTGCTTGCGTACAATACATAATTGGCATTATTCAAAGGGCAAATGTAACCTTCGGATAAGTAGATCCATCGTTGGTTTTGAGCCTCTACTAATGGTTTTTGATCAAACTGACATATGTTTGTTCGATGAAACGTGCGAATACGGCCTAATTTGAATTTTAAGTTTACTTTTAGTTTTATAATAAATATTAGATTAATTATGCAATTTACCTCCTTGAATGTCCAGAACTTTTCCTGAAGCTCGGTTAATAAGGAACCCATTGTCGCATCTCCAAAGCTATAGGATAGTCAATACTTAATTATCGAGCAAACAAAATTTTTAACTGTATAACATGAATAAAAAAAATACCTGACTATCAGCATCAAAACCAAATCTTTGCTTAGAAACAACAACTTTTACGCCAGAGTTTACAGAAAGATTTTGGGGCTCAAGAACATACTCGTTAACTTGAGATTTTATGTAAAACCATTCTGTATTTTCAGATATGATTAATTATATAATCTCGATTTAAATATGTTCTCACTTTAAAAGACAGTCGTACCATTTTGAGGAAAGCCAAATTCAGAAGACATTGTTATAATATCGACATTCAATCCTCCCTTCAGTGACGGTTTAAAAAATGAACGTAGAAATGAAAAATTATCGTAATAACTAGATTTAGCCATAATTGTCAATGTCCTTCTTATTTTATACAAAAATTGACAATTTAGTGACACACTCTGGTCGTGAAACGTTTGCTAATACGAAAAATAATCTCATGTAGTCGAAAATGGTCCAATTTATAATAATGTAATTACGGGGGTCAAACATTTTGATGCTGATACGAATTATTAATTATATCTAATTTTCTTAAAAATTGGACCTTATAATTTATAATTTGATACTTTATGCATATTTTAATTGGAAATCGGAAGACACGTGTTAGTTATTAGACATACACATTTTATAGTATAAATTTTTTAGGAAGTATAATAAGAAGAGATTTAAAATCTTTCATATTATGAAAGAACAAATCTGTTTCCGTTAAGGGTAATAACTATGGTAGATAATTCATTCATGATGTACCATGTGGTACTATTTTAAGGAAATGTCAAACACGTAGTACGTATTTAATTTGAAACTACGGACATATTACGGAAATATATTTCCGAAACGAAATAAACTGCTTTATTTGAACTTTTAACCCTATAAAAGAAATACGTACGTATTCATGGTTTTATTTATGCTGTAGTATTGCAAAAAAATAAAAATAAAAATTGTTTCAATTCTTTATTAACGATTTTTTTTTATTCAAAAATTAACTTCTGTAAGTTCAATATTTATGTACAGTCAATCTTCTAAACCGAACTCTTGGGCTTTTAAAATAAAAAAAGTCTGCATCTGAACCGAACTTCATAATAAAATCTTTACTCAATTAAGAGTTTATCACGCACATCGTCCCCTTTGTAATCACTATTATGCAACTGCAACTGTTGTTTTGTAATTTTAACTTCACCCAACCAAATAAGGCTCAAAAAAGTGTCGGATTCCGTGATCTGAAAAGACGTCCGGACTTAAATTTTGCCATTCGAATAAACTTTTTCTTCTCTAATATTGATATTGATATATATTATAGTTATAAATGACAAGCCCAGAATTTGGCGTGCCCTGACTTAGGTCACGAGACCGATATATATAAAATGATTAAGTTCGTCCCACCCAACCCGCTATTATAAAAAAAATATGTTACTGTCAGACTGTGCAACCATCCTCGCCAGACCCTTGGAATAAAGATGTGGCAAGATCATCAACTGGAAATAATATTCTTAACCCTTGCGGGCCAGAAATTATAACCACACTTCCCTTTACGGATGGTGCACTATAATTCATCATCCAGTTTAATTCGTGTGTCTTTGTTGGAAAACAAGGACCGGTGACTGACTATATACAGATCCTGTAGAGTACAGTCGATGAGGAAAATTATCACTAAATATGTGAGGTATTTATGAAATTACGTTTGTCATTTATGAATTATGGGATTGAGATTATTATTATTCAATTTGATTGGCTAAAATAATGGGTTGCAAAAAACTTTTGTAATCTTTTAGCGGAAGTCAAAAAAATTTAAAAATTTGATACTACGTGCATATGAACTTTTTCTTTTCTTTTTTTTTTTTAACAAATAATCGTTAAATATATTAATTACGTCACAGCCAATAAAAACTATCGGGAGATTATGTAATCGCAGTTATGTTATCTACGTATTTTATATTATATATTATATACAGTGTTGGTGAATCGCTTGTGATTTTTAGTATGGATATTAATTTTATAACAGCGATCGCTGAAACAAAGACGATCAAAGACGATATATCATAGATGCTTTATATCTTTCGGGGGTTTTTTAAACAAAAACCCGCATTTTTAGATAGAACTTTCGTAAATTGCGTATAATTGTGAGCATCATTCTACTCATCACCGAATTTCTTCGTTTATACAGTGCATATACAGTAAAAAGATTACAGACAACTTTTTCTGATAATTTTAATCAGTCATACAATTTATTTATTTAGAAAATGCAAAATTTAACAAATTAAACAATGAAAATGAATGAATGAATGAGTGAATGCAATATATAAAAAGTGTGAAGCGAATGCTAAAAAAAATAAAATGAATGTGTAAATGTCAGTTGAATAACTATATGAAGTAAAATGCAAATTAAACATGAATGTGTAATGCGTTTCTGTACAGTGTATGATTGTAATTTTTTTTTGTCTATACTATGAATGTACAAAATGCAAATAAGTGATGACTAAAGATGTATATAATATTAGTTATCATGTTTAATCTATCACTATAGATATATATATATATATTAATTTAACGTTAAGCATTATAATTTCTTAAGATTTTTGACGGTATCAACAACCTCACGTAACATTCTCAAACTTCTCTTATCACCGGACAAAGCTGTATGAAATGCATTCATACAATATCCAAAACCAACCTTCAACTCCGGATTCCAAAGAAGCATGCTGCCTCCTGATCCTCCCCATCCAATAAATTCATAGTCTTCAACCCCCTTTAATCTGAAATATCCAAATCCTCAAATGGAAGATGTAATACTTGTTTGTAAAGCAACATCAAAAGTTTCTGGTAATTTAGTCATCACAAGATCATAAGTATCTTTCGATAAAATTGTGGGTTCAAGAACACCTGTTACTGAATTACCAATAGGGTTACCGCCATTAGCCATGATAGCTGCTAACTTGGCCATAGATTTACTATTAGTAACTCCACTATAACTAGGTCCTTCATAATTTAACATTTCAAATCTATTCCAATCTTGTGGTTGACTTCTATCCGGTGCTGATTGAACAAGAGTTTTGTATGTTACACTGTCTGTTTTCATCATTTCGTCAAAAATAGGTTCTAGCGGTTCGCTAATCATCCATTTGGGTAATAAAACCTTCGCAAGTATTCTGACCATTGGGTATGCATAAATTTTTGCAACTCTTTGATATAATGATTTTTTCGTTATAGAATAATAAAATTCAATATCATAAACAGGTGCGATTTCTTCCGCCACTATGCGACCAATCGTACGATGTCTCGGATCAACTCGACGAACAATTTCATTCAAGTACCAACCACGTGTTACTCCATGATACGCTTTTGTTGGTACACCGTTAAAGTTATGAGGTTGTGATTGAAGAATCTTTGCGAGTGACTCAAGATTTGATAAATCTGATAAGGTCATTTGGTGTGAATCGATATAACCTACACCTGCACGGTGAACTACCAAGTCCAATAATGTGACATTTTCTTTACCACCTTGGGCAAATTCTGGCCAATATTTTGAAATCTTCTCATCATAATTCAAAAGTCCTTGTTCAACAAGGCGTGCAATCACTATTCCAGTCTGTTTATATATATATATATATATAGTATTTAAATTTTAGTTAAAAAATTCATGAAATTAAAAAGAGTACTATAAAAAAATATTGATAATACTAACCAAAACTTTGCTACTAGAAAATACAAGTTGCAAGGTTTCCGCATCATAAGTGCTACCAGTTGCCATGTTAGCGATTCCGCCTTGTAAATCAACCACCATTTTATTATCATAAAAAACACTAACTCCAGCTCCAACATCTAATCCATTTTTAATATTTTCTTCGAAAATTTTTTTAACACCAGCAAATTCTGGTGTAGTAAATCCTGATACTCTATCTGAAGGACATCCAACATTTAACATTTGGCATGAAAATGGTAAGAAAGGTTCGGAATGTGAATATCTATAGATCATGAAGCCCAAAATTAAATGTAGAATAAATAATATTTTGAAAATTCTATGTCGATTTTTTAAGAATTTAGCAGATGAAGCTGCTTGAGAAACAAATGTCGATGAGATCGATGGAATTGTAGAGTAATTAAAATTTTGTGGAGTAAGGATTGAAGGTACAGATTTGATGGTTGAACTAATGGAAGAATGAACTATGTTCGAGACGTTTGAAATGACATTGATCAATGACTCGGGGATCCAAGAAATGGATTTGGGCAAGTACGAAGAAGTAATTCTGGTATTTGATGTTGGAATTTTGGAGTATTTGTTAGCGATCGGTAATAGTGGTGTTCTTTCTGTGGAGGAATATTTGTCATTATTGCTGTTAGGATTAGTATTGCTGGATTCGGATTTCGTCACATATTCCATATCTAATTCTGTTGATTCTGATGACATCTTATCGTTTTTCGATGTATGAGATAGCAGATAAATGTAGAGGAAAACTTGAAAGGCTGTATAGAGAGGATTGCGGACAACTTTAAGCAACGTTTGGCGCAAAATTTTGAAAGAAAACGAAAAATGAAAGTGTGTATAAATATGCTTTTCGTCAAAATTATGATGAAAGGAATCAAGCCTATCAAATTATTAAAGGTTGATTCCCTTAGTGGTAATGGTCAGCGAAATGCGAAGGTCTGCGATGTGGAAAAACGAACGCAAAAAAACCATGTATTTATCTAAAATGCAAGTAACACTATTATTATATGTAATATTAAATCAAACAAGGTTAAGAAATTTGGTGTTAAATACTTTTAATTATAATAATGAGACATATGTAGACTTTGTTCAAATTTTATGTGCCAATAAATCACCATTCTACGAATTTATTGTTATTTTTACCATTCTTGCAGAATTGTGCTTACAAACTGGGAATCATTCAATTAGGCCATTGTCTTTGTTCGTGAATGTCTTTATCGGTTGTAATAGTGACACATTGGTTCTGTCTTTACCGCTGAATAATGTCATTAAACCGTAGAAATGCATGCATAATGTGGCTAAAAAACCGTTATTACAGAATTGTATTGAGAAACAAAGACGTTTGTTCATTTACTTTCCTAATTTGGTCATTTTCAATTGCAGTCGTACGATTTTGGAAATAACTAATTTACGATTTACGACAGAGCAGATCATTATGTCTTAGCTTAACAAAAATTTTTAAAAATTTGGAATCAAAAGATGCAACATAAAATCACCAATTTCGCTCTGTGCTCTATGTTAATAAGACATTGCCCAGAAATTTAGAGTTTAACCCATTTATGGAATATCCTTTTTATTTAATGATATGATATATAATTAAAACATTCGTAAAACAAACCTAGACCTACTCTTCTGGTATGATACCCTATTTGTTATTTCCGTTTAAATTATTCATGCATTACCATCTGTAGTTTTATCTACTTTATTCCTGTCCATTGTATTATGCACGCACGGAATCGAATTACTCATTACTAAGAATAATTGCATAAGAGCTTTGTAAGCGTAATAAAATCCAGTGATCTAACTTTTTTTTTTTTACAAGAAATAAAGCATCGAATTAAAAAGTTATAGTTCATGTTAAAGAAGTCAAATTTATCAACGTATGATCTTTTATTATAATTTCATAAATATTTAAATTATACAGTCAAACCCTCATTAATACAGTATCAATCTATTTTAATTATGTTAATATATACAAGGGTTTATAACAGAAATAATAGTTTATTCAAAGAGAACTTGCCTCTTAACTTCTAAGCAAGATTGTGGAGGTAGTTTTTACGATTATAACGCTGGTAATATCATTAAATTTATCTTAATAAATTACAAGATATACGAATTTTACGTTTTATCGATTATAAAATTTTTGTTTGCCAAGAAAATTTATACTGTCGGCCCTCCCAAAACCGATCCTGTCAAAACCGATAACCTCGGTTCCATAAGTAATATGGGGTCTTTGCCTTGAAAATCAAATATATGACATATGATTTACTATGTCCCATAACTTGATTTTCAAGGCAAA